GGGAATATTGGGTCGTTAGAGGCTAAATTCCCTAGATGTAATGTTATGTGGCCTTCTAGAAATAGGGTGATGTCACTTGAGAGGGTTGAACTCCTAAAATCATTGGATGAGCTGTTAGGACGGTGCTTGATGGTCTATACAACTTTTCTTCCTAGAAAAGCTTGTTTAGAGGTTAGAAGGTCAGCTTTGATGTTGTTTATATCTGAGCTACAACAGACGGCACCGAACTTCATACATGTTGGTAATCAAATTTTGCTGTTCGTTGGTCATCCCATTCTCAATCTTTAAAATCTTGTTGTTTGAGGTTAAGCTGTGATAAGTAAGGCCGATCTGCTGATTATGGTTTCATCAATTGTCCTCTAACCTGAGCTCGAACAATACTATTTTTGGCCTTCAGTTGGGGATAGACCATATTTGAGGTAAAGATTGTACCTTTGGGGATGTATTCATCAAAGGTTAGGTGGGACATGACGCAACTAAATAGTTGAGGAGGGGCGGCTCATGCAAGGGTGAAATGTACATGCCATGTTGATTTTTAATATATCTTCATCGTGTGCATGCATGTGGGTTTCATCAACGATGTGCCTTGTACACCTTTTGAATGTATGTCTGGTGCATGATGGAATTAAACCACCAAAAATCTGAAGGTATTTGAACTTTTTATCTTTTTTATGAGGTATTTAGTCTTTTTGTCAAATAGGAGAAGTCTTAGGAGCAGTTCTCTTTAGGTACGTTTCTCTTTTTTCATACCATCCTAGATCGAATTGACCCTTGGTGGTGGTACATAGGGTTTCAATTTGTGGTCCTCAGGTTTTGTTATTTTAGGAGCTCCCTAGGGTCTTTCTTACCTTTACCTTTCTTCGTTGACCGCCCATTACTGTTTAGGTTGTCTTTGGTGAGGTTCTGGAGCTTTGATCTTAGCGCCATTGTAGATTGTCACTCTCATCTACCTGAATTGTACCATAGCTTAAGGTGTGGGGTTCCTATGGTAAGGGTTGTGTCTAATACATACTCTGAGTCGACTTCTTACACTCCTCCTAAATGGATGAGGTTCAAGAAGAGGCTCTTCCATTGATTGTTGGCGAAAGCTAGGGGGCCTTTTGGAATGAATTTTAGAGGTTCTCACTCGTGTTCTTGACCCCTAGGTATTAACCTCAAGTCAAAAGGATGAGATCCTTTCAAATAAAGTCCTCCAACAAGTTCAAGAATATGAAGTAGGAGTAAAAAATGGAGTGCATCGTCCTCAGTAGCTTTTAAAAGGAAAAATGTTGCGGGATTTGTTTTGACCTAACCTATTTCTAGTCTCGACCCAAATCCACTTGACTGATAGTTGAGCCCAGGCCTTTATGGGGGCATTATAGCTTTCCCTGTAAAGTGACNAAGGGTGAAATGTACATGCCATGTTGATTTTTAATATATCTTCATCGTGTGCATGCATGTGGGTTTCATCAACGATGTGCCTTGTACACCTTTTGAATGTATGTCTGGTGCATGATGGAATTAAACCACCAAAAATCTGAAGGTATTTGAACTTTTTATCTTTTTTATGAGGTATTTAGTCTTTTTGTCAAATAGGAGAAGTCTTAGGAGCAGTTCTCTTTAGGTACGTTTCTCTTTTTTCATACCATCCTAGATCGAATTGACCCTTGGTGGTGGTACATAGGGTTTCAATTTGTGGTCCTCAGGTTTTGTTATTTTAGGAGCTCCCTAGGGTCTTTCTTACCTTTACCTTTCTTCGTTGACCTCCCATTACTGTTTAGGTTGTCTTTGGTGAGGTTCTGGAGCTTTGATCTTAGCGCCATTGTAGATTGTCACTCTCATCTACCTGAATTGTACCATAGCTTAAGGTGTGGGGTTCCTATGGTAAGGGTTGTGTCTAATACATACTCTGAGTCGACTTCTTACACTCCTCCTAAATGGATGAGGTTCAAGAAGAGGCTCTTCCATTGATTGTTGGCGAAAGCTAGGGGGCCTTTTGGAGTGAATTTTAGAGGTTCCCACTCGTGTTCTTGACCCCTAGGTATTAACCTCAAGTCAAAAGGATGAGATCCTTTCAAATAAAGTCCTCCAGCAAGTTCAAGAATATGAAGTAGGAGTAAAAAATGGAGTGCATCGTCCTCAGTAGCTTTAAAAAGGAAAAATGTTGCGGGATTTGTTTTGACCTAACCTATTTCTGGTCTCGACCCAAATCCACTTGACTGATAGTTGAGCCCAGGCCTTTATGGGGGCATTATAGCTTTCCCTGTAAAGTGACGATTCACATTCCAAAAGTTAAGAAGAGATACAATATTTATGTTCTCAAGAAGACCTATTTTTTTTGTAACCGTCTTCGAGGCGGGGTTTAGGTTTTCTATGCATCCTTTCATCCGTGAAGTCCTTGGCCACAACAACATCTGTCTAACTAGGTTGTCCCCCAATGGGTGGAGTCTTTTGGTGGGTTTGATAATCTATTGGCTAGAGAGTGGTGTCGAGTACCCTCCTGCTTTATCTAAGTTTGCCTATTACCTCCTCGACAGTGAATAGATTCCTAATACCCATAGTGTTCCATTTGGTTCTTGTATGAGTTCATATGGTCCATGGAGTCCTTAGTTCTATCGAACACATCGATCTGGGGAGTTTTGAACTTAAGTGGTAGAGAAAAATGCAGGACCTCAATAGTAAAAGGGGACTCAGTTTGTTGAACTAGAGCCTCCATGGTGACTGGCACTCTATTTTTTACGACCTCCTTTGTGTGTCCCAGCTCGTGTTGGATCCCTAAATCGTTCTTCTCAAAATCAATCCAACACGTTCTACTGCGAGAGTAGTTGAGTTACCTTTCCTCCTCCTGCGGTTTTGTCTTATGCTTCATCGTTGTTCTCCTCTCTTAAGAACGAATGTCTAAGGTTCTCCCTAGATTGGTTGTGACAATCCCTGGTTACACTGTTTTTGGGGTTTTGGAGGATTCAGAGGATGCTGGGAGTTCAGAAGGTTCTGAACGAGTTAACTCTGGAGGTTTAAGGGATTTTGAATTGGTTGATTATGGAGGTTTAGGGGATTCTAAATAGGTTGAGGAGGAATTTGATGGGTTGATTGTAGATTATGGGCTTGGATGGGGGTGACTAGTTCCTCATTTTGCCTGAGAAGGCAGCAGAGGGCTTGTTGATAAGTCTCTGGCTCATTCCCAGGAAGTGGATTTTCGATTGGGGGATTCTGGGTATTTAGAGGAGGAGGATGAACCCTCGAAGGGTTCCTTGGAATCCCATGTTGGTTTTCTGAAATCTGACTCATACTTCGAGTTAAGAACATCAAGTAATAGATATGAACGAAAAATTCAAAGAAACAATAAAAATCGTTTCCACAGATGGTGCCAACTGATAATGTATGAACTCAAAGCACGAGATAGTAATGCTTAAGCTAAAAAGCTCAAGCTTGTGTGCTATAATTAAGTATGACTTAACAGAGGAGAGATCACTCTAAAAATAATTTATGATGACTCTATGTACTGTGTTAATTGAAAAGCCGACATAAGTACTAGGTAAGGGAAAGAACACAGACTATAGTGGTTTACCAACTCAAAAGATTGACTAATCCATTCTAATGAAATCTCTTGCTCCTTTGGATGAATGTCTATTACTTGAGAGAGAAGATAAGTTACACTATGTAAGGTGTTTTTTTTATATGTCTTTACATGGTGAAGGCCGTTATATTAATACTCAGAGGTGGGGTGGTCTCTATGTCATCATCACATGGTTCCCAAGTTAGTTAGGAGTTTAGTGAGGAAATATTGGGCCATTAGAAGCTACATTCCCTCAATGTAACATGGCGTGGCCTTCTAAAAATAAGGTGATTGCACTCAAGAAGGTTGAACTCCAGAAATCATTAGATGAGCTGTTGGGGTGCTTGGTGGTCTATACAACTTTTCCTGTTGGAAGAGCTTGTTTAGAGGTTAGGAGCTCAGCTTGGATGTTGTTTATATTCGAGCTACAGCGAAGGGCTGAACTTCCTATGTGCTGGTGATCAAATTTCACTGCTTGCCGGCCATCTCATTTAAATTGTGCCTTTGAAGTCATGTTGTTTGAGGTTGAAGTGTGACTAGTAAAGGCCGATCTATTGATTATTGTATCATCATATATAAACATATGCACATATAGTAAGAGGTACAATTTCTTTTTTCTTAGATTTTCCCTCCCTAGAAAATTACTCTTTGAGGACACAATCTTAAAATCATTGGATTTGTAATGTGGGAAATGTATGGATGACTCTAGTAGTCACTATACAGATGAGGAAAGCAAAAACATGAATCACGTGCCTTGTGAAACGAGTAGGAGATCTGCCCACCACATTTGGATTTCAATTGAGGTAAACTTGTAACATTGGGATCAGAGCAAGGTATATATTTGGGTTGTATAACTAGATATGCAGATAAGTGTGGGCGAGTTAGGAAACATAAAGAAACTTAATTTTATATGGATTTCAGTATACATACATGGATCTATATAAGAGATAAGGATGACTTTGCGAAATTGACTCGTGTTGGTTTCCTTAGGTAAATATTCCATGCGCATATAAATGATTGCAAAATAATATCATATAGGGGAATAATAACCACTATACATATGAAAGACAACAGGAATATGAATCACATGGCTCATTACACAAGTGGGAGATTCGCCCACCACATTGGACTGTGCTTTTGAGGTAACCAAAATCCTTTTTTGTTTTTTTGCCAATAGAGATATGCATTTCCCCGAGACTTACTGAACATGTTAAGTCCCTTAAAGGGAGAAAGATCAAGAGGGAGACAAAGAACTCAACATGACGGGAAAAAATTTCAAAGAACGAGTTATGGAGTACCTGAGAGTCTCTATTCAATTCAGCCCAGCAATCATCTAAATTACAAAAATAAAAATGGAATTTTAGAAATTCATAAACATATGCATTCACGTCAATAAAATTGATACAACCATTGTCTTACCTAAATTTATATACTTGTATCCTACGGCAGCAAGGCCACTTGATACCATTGCATCCGCTATTGTTAAAGAGCAATAATGAAACTGTCAAATTAATATGTTGCAATAATTATGACAAGAAAAGAATCTATGATTCATCAACAAGTGCTGATACATAATGAAGTCACCTGTTTCCCTGATTAATTTCTCTTTAATGTGGCAATTGAAATGGTTCCAGCTATTCCATCTGATCAGCGCAAAGAATATAATCTTGTAGCTTATATGCATATATAACCAATATATATATATATATATATATATATATAGAGAGAGAGAGAGAGAGAGAGAATACATATTTTATATATGTACATACATGATGTAGCATATATTCAAGAAGAAAACCACCACCATAAGATTTTTCATAAAGGGGGTAAGAACATCAACAATAAGTAGGGCTAGTGGACTATGATATCACCTTCACCACATGGGTTAGCACTTAGCACTTAGCATTTGAATATGTACAACTACTACATTAATTTTTTATCCAAATCTGTACTTATATTCTATTTTTTAGGATTGCTTAAATGTTCTCCCAAAACTATAACCCGATTCTCACTTCACTTGTCAAATTTGTTTTTGTCATTTACTTTCTTCTACTATCGAATCATTTTAACCCAAGTGATAATTATAGTTGCATTTTTCGTAGGAAAGAGGCACATGTACACTACTTGAGGGACACTACTAATCTCAAATTGCAATTTACACTCTAAAAGTTTAAAAATATCAATTTATATCTTAAAAGATATAAATTTATATCAATGTGCACCGAGGTTACCTATCGTCCATTTTGCCGTTAAAAAAGTTTGGTCTAATTATAAATTTCACCTTCAAATTTAAATATTTCACATTTATGATGAAAAAAGAATTTCATTCATTAATATTCGTTAAATATCTTTCAAGCACATTAATATGAATTTATATCTTTCAGGGAGTAAATTGTTATTTTTAAACTTTGAGGGTATAAATTGATATTCGAGTGATCTTTCGGAGTGCAAGTTGAGATTAACCCTATATTTAATAGTTTAATTGAATGAATATAAATAAGGTGAACTTTGTAACTAATGAGGTGAATATAGATGAGATGAAGTTAATAGATTAAAATAAGATGACTAAATGGAGTGGAAAAAAAGATTTGAGGGGCGAGAATAACCCCCACCAAATATTTTTCAAGAGATCTCTAATTAAACACAAAAAAGGAAAAACTCAAGAAGTTACCTATTTTAAGCTTGTGAAATAGATTAAGTTCTTATAGAGCTACCAAATGAAATTGTAGTCGGCAAGCAATACTTTGACAAAAATATGCGTCCGAAAAGAAATTGCACCTATGCCAGCAATATGAGTTGTCAAGACACTCTGGACCTGGCTCCACCCATTAAGAAAAATAATAACAAACAAGACAAAAAAGAAATAATTACAGCTTTTAAGATAATTGCAGCTTTTAAGAATATTTTTTCCATATATTTCATAATTTCAAAAATTTATGCCACATATTATGATCTTGGTCGTAGCATTCGTTGCATTAATTATCTTGCGTAATGTTATATTGACTAAAATTTGGGACCAAATTTAGAATCCAAATGACATGACAGTTAATTATTTGAAATTTTTATTGGAACCTAAATGGCATGACACCAAAGAAGTCCAAGTCAACTGTCATGTCATTTGAGCTCTAAATTTGATCCTAAATTTTGGTCAGTCTATCATTATTGAATTATCTTTCATAGACTTCAACAATTTCAATTATCATTCATATATATATATATATGTATGTGGTAAATTTGTCAGCTAGTTGGACTTACGTAGTAAAACTTTGATAGACACATTGATCTCTTCGACATTTTTAAATACAGGATGTTATATTGCTTTGAAGTACGAGATCTTCTCTTCCTCGCTCTAACAAAAATTCTGACCAACTGCTATATTTTATTATTTCATTAATTTAATGTTAAAGTATGTGCGACCCATATTTGCTGTGTACACAATTACAAGGAGGCAGATGCTGAAACGAAATTGATATATTTTATGTATGGGGGATGCTGATTAGTTGAATAATAAAAAAGAACGGCCGCTCACTCCTGTGGATATAGGCACATTGTCGAATCACGTAAATTTCTGTATTATTTTTTCTTATTTTTTTAATTGTTTGATTCATTATTATTCACCATAATTACTGCACGATCACAACATTTAAGACGAAAAATACACACACAATGGGACTCCACAAAATGGAGTCATACCAACTATCAATAAGAAAAGAGTAAGAAGAAAAAAAGGAAGAAAGAAAATCCAAAGAAAGGCCATCTCTGGAGGAGGTGGGGCTTGGCATCTAGCTAGAGCCAGCAAGAAGACTCAACTCTTCGCTGAGGTGAGCAAGTCTCCATATGATTTGATAAGGAATAGAAAGTCATGATTTGAATTAAAAAAGATAGTGCACGAAATTCATGTTAGTTTGATGTTATATAATTTTTTTTTTTTTTTGTTTTAATAAAAAGTAAAATTGTGCTGTGGTAAACTAAACATACACCACATGAAGTGAACGACTTTCCTTTCAATACTACGTTATTCTATATGTTTTTTCCGATAAAATGCAAATTAATGAACAAGAAAAAAGTCCATGAAAAGCAAAGAGATCATGATAGAAGGAGTTTAGATTACCCCATCTGTGGTGTTAAACCGAGTCCATTGTCCAAAAGGTTCCGGCGAATCTGGTCCCTGCCAGGGTTTGATGAGTTTCCGCTGTTCAGCTGCCGTGCAGCAGCGGTACCGCCGGCGAGGAAGAAGCAGCAGATGCATATTACGAAAAAAGCCGAACCCAGCGTCCATTGCTTGGCGTTTGAAGATGAAAGAACACCCATATTGGCACAGCTTCTCCCCTCAGAAAGCTTAAAAGCCAAATATATCTGGGGGGGCAGAGCTATTTTGAGACCTCAGCAAAGTGAGTTCCGAGGACTGTGTTTTATAGATGTGAAAAGGGGGAGAATGGGGTTCCGTATATGAGCTGGACAACGTCTCCCCTAAGGCAACGTTGCTATTTATAGTCAGTATTCTGAGAAGAGTTACAATGATAAAAGATATATTAAATTATCACGTTACCACCAAAAAAAAATTTAAAGATCAATATTAAAATATTAAGATCGACCCACAATACCTACTTTATTGAGTTGTATTGGAAGTTGTTACCTCACATTTATTTTCTAGTGATTTTGGTACAATATTAAATAATAATTTTTTACCCATATAAGTTTATAGTACAGAATATTATTTATAGGAAATGATGATTAAAATTGTAAAGTAAGGAAAAACAGGTTCATAGATGTCACCATGTGATTGGATAAAAAAAGATATGAGACTGAAAAAGTAATTTTCACCAAAGACTTGATGATTCATTTGGTAGGATAGATAAAAAAATGAAAGGATAAAAATTAGAGTAATACATATATATATATTTGATAAGAGAGATGAAGAGTAAGAATGATTGTTTTTTTTTTGTTTGGTAAAATAGAGAAAAAATATGTATAAATTAGTCATAACTTGTGTTTGAAGGCACGATAAAATATAAAATTCGTGTGTTTACAAAATTAATCTCACTATATTAAATTTTTTTAAAATATATTAATTACAAATTAATTAAATATTAAATAATTAAAAAATCATATAAATGAGTTGTGTAATATTTTTAGGAAGGAAATATATAAATGATTAAATATGTGATTGAAATAAGTGATGTAATTTGACGTTTGAGTTTGACAAATGAATGATGGGTGAGATAAATAATTAATGATAATTTTGAGTGAAAAAATATGATTAGAATAAAATTTAAATACATTTATATTTTATTATATAGATCTTTCGGTGAAGGCAGGTACTATTTCTGTGGGAGTAGTTGAAGGGGCTGATTTACTAGTAATCTGTCTTTTTCTGCCTTTGGATGAGCTAGTATCCAAAGATAATGGGCTTAGATGTCTTCGCTTGGTTACGCGTAAGAATGTTGTTTGTGCGTGCTGGACGGGGGTACATCTCACACGTTTGCATTTGTCGTTTGTCGTGGCAGCTGTCTCTTTTAAAGTTTCTCCGTCTGTGTCCACCCTTTCGGTCCGCCAATGACCCCGATTTTTTGTCAAAATATTTATTATAACGGGAATATTATATGCTAATATACGATAGTATTATCTATTAATAATATTCAAATAAATAAATAAATTAATCTCACAAAAATTAATAATCAATTTATCATGCAAATAAATAATTCATCACTTTTCTTTCATGTAAGCTTAAATGAGATTTATCTTACCTACTTAAAGTTTTATTATTAATTGGTGATACCATATCATCAATAATTACATGTTATCACCGTTACATTTAATATTTACTCAAATTTTTCGTACCATTTACATAACATGAATCTTTACACAAAAATAGTTGAAATGGATTCAATAGTGTGTGACCCGACTTCGAAAATAATACGTTATTTATCATTAAAATAAAAAATAAAGATGTAAAAATAATGTCAAACACAAATAATTCGGTTTTGAGGTAATAAATCCCCTTCCATAATACTAAATGAAGAAAATGTCTGTTTTTTATTTTTTATTTTTATTTCTGATCTCTTGATCTAGTATTACATGTGATATGGGGAATTTGAGCCATTAAGTTCGGCCCCAAAAAACTAGCAAATCCTATATTTTGGACACGGAGAGAATCCAGAATAATACTCTGTTTAATACAATGAAAAAATAAAATGATAAAAAGTTGAAAAAATAAATAAAATATCATGTTTGATAAATAAAAAAAATAGAAATAATGAAAAAAATAAATGAACTAAAATCAAACTCTCAAAAATAAATTTCTATCCATTTGAAAGTGTCTCTCCAGAATATAGATGAGATTCAGCACTCAAAGAGACCTTTTTTCGAGGTCTAAACCAATTAAAAATGTCAGCTAGACATGGGGAGTCAGCTATGGGAGACTCCTAGGAAATTTTACTTGAAAATTACATGTGGTTGAAATCTAGGTTCTTTCCAACCAAATTAGTAGCCGATTAACATCACCAACCCACTCTCCACTAGTTACATTCAGCACCAGCATATAAAAGGGAGTCCCTCTCCAAGATTCAACCATTTTTAACGCACAACGCGACAAAACTACATAAGAAGTCGCTGTTGAAACAAATGGTTTTAAAGAAGATTATTTGAGTAACTTGAGATTTAAATAAAAGTGGGATTCATATCTCGAAATTGGTGGGACCAAGTTTAAACACATTCTCCTTTGTAAGGAGATTAAAGTGATATATTTATTTGTCTAAAACTATTAAGATTTGAATAAGAAATTATGTCTCAAAGTGACCCATTTGAAGTAATTAAATAAAAAAAAAATTGTGTAGTGAAATAAGGTTTATTCCACATTGAAAGAAGATCAATACTTTGGTGAGTTAATATACTTCTAGTTGACTTCATGGGTTGGGCTCCAAGGGGTACCACACTTTTGTGAGCGGAGAAAGCGCCTACACTACCTTGATTATCACACATGCACGCCACCTCGCCCGCCTCGCCTCAGGCCAAAAAAATATTTTTTTTTTTGACAAAATTTATTTAAAGTCGTGCGAGTCATAGATTAAACCAATCAAATTCGAACGCGGATCGGAATTAAAATCCCAACAACACTTTAAATCCAACTGAATTTTTAAATTTCTATCTATTACTTTGAACGATGCCAAAATAGGTCTGGTTCATTCCAGATGCTATGTTCACTCCAGAGGTTTCCTTTACCTATTTAGGTTGAAGAATGTATCTCTTTTATCTGAATAGTGGCAACCCATGCCTTTTTAGGCAATCTAAACTGCCACTAAAGCTTTATAAATAGACTGCCCCATTGTCATTTCAATTCAACCTAATTCTAGATTTCAATTCATAATTACTTTTATCTCTCTCTGCATATTGTTGCATTATTCTTTTGGTTCAATTCAAGTATAAACACAAGTTATGTTTGCTGGAATCTTAAAAATTGAAACATAAAATTCATTCTATCTTGGGAGACAGTTGCTCATCAACCTTGAGCACCGAAAGGGAGCAAATCTTTCTTTGGGAGATTGTTTTTCACAAGGTTTGGATTATATATTCTAGTTTTCTTATTAATCGTTCGTGCAAACGTTCCTGTGAATGTACTATTTTTGCTTACTATACATTTTGTTTAGATTAGTGCATAAGTTAGACTTTATATAGTTTAATATGATCTAATTATGTACCTATTTTCTATAACAATCTTAAGACAGATTTCAGTTTTATAATTAGATTAAGTAGTGTTATAAGTTTAAAATCAAATTTTGTATTCTATTACTATTTTTAATTGCTATACTTATCACAATCAGAATTGTGTATTCTGTTAGACTAATGATTCTAGTATTAAATCATTTGCATCTGTTTGTGTAACAGAAATGACATCAACAAGTTCTATTCCAACAATCGTGAGTTTGTCTCATCGAGAGAAGTTCGAGAAATTCAATGGCTTGAACTTCAAACATTGGCAACAAAAGATGTTGTTCTATCTCACAACGTTGAACCTTGCAAAGTTCCTAAATGAAGATGTTCCTTCAATTGATGAGAATGGATCCACTGTGGAAATGTGGTTGCGGTGGATGCTTGAAAGCATTCAGATTTCTTGTGTAAAAATTACATCTTCAATGGGTTAGACAATGTACTATATAATGTCTATAGTACTGTCAAAATTGGAAAAGTACAAGACTAAAGATGTCTGCATGAAGAAATTCATCATTGACAAGTTCTTAGATTTCAAAATGATGGATTCTAAGACTGTTATATCCCAAGTTTAAGAACTTCAAGTAATTCTTCATGACATCCATGCCGAGGGTATGTCTTTTAGTGAGTCATTCTAAATGGCTGCAATTGTGAAAAAATTACCACCACAATGGAAGGAGTTTAAGAACTATCTCAAGTACAAGCATAAGAAGATGAAACTTGAAGAATTAATTATTCGTTTGAGGATAGAAGAAGACAACCGTAAATCTAAAAAGAAAAATGGTGTCTTTAACTCAATGAACTCCAAAGTCAACATTGTGGAAGGAGGAACAAAGGCTAACAAAAAGATGAAGCATAATGGTGATGGTCCAAGTCAAGGATCAAAGAAATTCAAGGGCAAGTGATACAATTGTTGCAAACTAAGACATATATCAAAAGATTGTTGTACGCCAAAAAAATTCAAGTTTAATGCTCAAGCAAACATGACTGAAACAGACAAGCTTTTTATGGAAGTCAATGACATAAATCTCTCCGCAATTGTTTCAAAATGCAACTTGGTGGGTAACCCCAAAGAGTGGTGGGTGGACATCAGTGCTATTTGACATATTTGTTCTAAAAAATAAATGTTCTTTACTTATAAAAATCTAGAGAATGATAAACAACTCGATATGGGGAATTCCTCTATCTCCAATGTTGAAGGAAGTGACAAAGTGATACTCAAGATGACATCCAGCAAGGAACTCACCTTGAACAAAGTACTTCATGTCCTAGATATTCGCAAGAATCTAGTGTCTGATTCCTTAATTAGCAAGAATGGTTTTAAGTTAGTCTTTGTATCCAACAAATTTATACTCACTAAGAATAAAATATTTGTAGGGAAGGGATACATGAGTGATGGGATTTTTAAGCTCAATGTAATGATTGTTGTATCCACATCTTCTAATAATAAGAATGAGATGAATTCTTCTTACTTGCTTGAGTTTTATAACATGTGGCATACTAGACTAGAACATGTTAATTATGATGCAATTAGAATATTAGTTAATTTGAATAACTTGCATAAGATGTCTATTGATCAAAATCATAAATACGAGAGTTATGTG